TCTCTCTCTCTCTCTCTCTCTCTCTCTCTCTCTCTCTCTCTCTCTCTCTCTCTCTCTCTCTCTCTCTCTCTCTCTCTCTCTCTCTCTTTTCTGCAGAGGAAGGGAGAGTTTTTGTCTGGACGTGTGTGACGCAGTTTGAATTGATTGTCACAACGTGGAGGAGACCAGAAATAATTAGAGCGGCAAACGAACACATTGCGTCGACAACGTATCATCGAGAGAGGCAAACTGGCAAACTGGCATACGTTGGAGCAGAATATGCCTTGGGAATCTGTTCAGTCTCACAGCATCGCTATTCCTATCGTCGAGAAACTCGAGACGGCTGAAAAGGCCCAAAGCAGAAAGAGGACTTCGGTGAAGGACATGATTGTGGATGGAGGCCTTGAAGTTAGTGGTACTGTTCCGGGGCTAGTTTCGCTGTTCTTTTGCAGATTGCTGTTGGATTTGGCTAATGGTTCAGGTCTGCGAGTGGCGAAAAGTCGAAAACGTTCACGTTGTTCAAGACTGACAGAAGTGTTCAGGTTGTTCGAGGATGACAAGGATGTTGAGATGAGTCAAGAATGATAAAAATGTTCGAAAAAAATGTTCGGGTTCGAGAATGACTACGACGTTCGACAAAACATTTAACCGTTGTGCTGATGACGGTTCACTTGGCATTTGGATTATGATTGGGAGGTCTTCTCAGCCAATGAATTGAGGCAGAGGGGTATATATGCAAGTGGGGGTGATGCTAGAGGGCCTGGTAGGTAGACGCGGCTCTACCGTCGTCACCCTAATAGAACGCCGGCCGGTCATTATAGCTGTATTTGGTGGGCAGCTTTCAGTGTCGATGCAGCGATAATGTCGTATTCTACTGTCTTCTACCATTCTTTGCTTCCAGTGGAATTCGAACTCAGGTTTGTATTTCAACAATTCGGGGTGTACCGACTGTGAGCTAGTAGCAGGCCAGTTGGTTGTCTTCGAGCATTCTATTTGCATGAACGTGGTCGCTTTAACAATGTCTCTCTGACGGTATTGACACAGCCAGGACTATCTTTATCTTTCCTTCGCTCAGCTTGATCGCTGGTGGGGAGTGGCGGAGACGGCTTCAGTATCGGAGACGAGCTTGTAGCTTGCACGGGTCAATCGCAGACGTCCTGTTAGACGTCCTGTTCTCTACTTCAGGAGGAGAATCCCTGCTTCATATTTAGTTGACAGCTGCAGTAATTAGAGGTAAATTTGTGAGGATAAGGTTGTGGACATGGTTGGAAAAGTGGGTCAGCCAGAGTGTATGCCAATCTGGCTTTCTGTGCCTGGCGCACCTGTATTTTCAGACATTTGAAGTGTGAGTCTTACTCCACACCAATGTATAGAGTGCACTTCTTACTAACATATTAWRAAAAAAAARMAAAAAAAAAAAAAAAAAAACACATAAAACAGCACCTCAAAAGTGCATTTCCAGGCAATTTTGCCAAAAAAAAATTCATCGAAATTTCAGGATTTTCAGGATGATCAACGGCACAAATTGTACTAACCCTAATGACACCAAATTTGACACACAGCAAGCTTGTCCAAAAACAAAAGCAGGCAAAAAAAAAAATCCAAAAAAACACAAAATTTGACCCCGAAACCCGAATTTCAGGATCATGCATTATTACTCAGGGCCGAAAAGTGGGGGTCCCCGTTAACCGCTTGTGAGTTTCAACATATTTTTCGTCCTTCAGGACATCCGTTAAAATTGGAACGATACAGAGAAGATTGATTAGCATGGCCCCTGCACAAGGATGACACGCATAAATCGAGAAATGGTCCAAATTTAAAAAAAAAAAAAAAAAAAAAAAATCAACATATCACTTCCTGGAACTACAGAGTAAGTTAACTGCTTACCACTACAAAGCCAGTTTGTCCATGGATGGGCGATAGTACGCCCCGTCCTTTGTGCTGGTCCCGGGCCCATTAAGAAGCCCTGCCCATTTAAGCTTTTTTTTTTTTTCCTGCACCTGCCTCTGCCCTTTTTTGTCTTTCGTTGTGTTGTTATAGAGGAAGAGAGCATCTGGACGTGACTGCGGTCAGATTCATCCTTGTCTGGCTTTGATTGCGGTCAGGTACATCGAGGAATGTGCTCGTCTGAGTATGCCCTGAGACTTGCTCCCATCTCTTTCGGTGGCTGTGTTATCTTATCCCTGTCCCGATGAAATTGCTACGGGATGAGTGAGGTACCCCTGCTGCCGCCCCCCCCCCCCTCCTCCTCCTCCTCCCTCTGCCACAAGACTAGAAAGGCCAATGTCCGTGCATGGCTTTTATAAGGCTGAAGGGAGGGGGGGAGGGGTTGGGAAGTAGCGTGGGGGAAAGGAGAGTCCATTCTATGTCTGGCAATTGTCTTTTTGTGCTTTGGAATGGTGGTACTGTTGTATGTAGGGTGTCTGCTCTTATCAGCACATCTAGCATCTGATCGGGTTGTTCCTAAAAAAAAAAAAAAAAAAAAAAAAAAAAAAAAAAAAAAAAAAACTAATAATAAATTACCCAGCGCATGTAGTGTAATGGTACACACACGTAACTGTGAAGAAACAGATCAAAAGTTGGAATCCTGATGGAATAAGATTGATACGGTCAGGCTAGGGGCCACCCCCTTTATATATAATATAACAATAATAATAAAAAAATGGGATGCTTTAAGTTAGGCAACATGCATCCCCTTAATTGTGAGAGGTTGCTGTGCTTGCAGGGGTCCCCTGTATTGGCTTAGTACTGGTAGGAACTACTAGGAAAGGTACTGACTGGTGAAATTGATAGAATAATATATAGCTTAGTTCTATAAAAAAAAAAAAGGAGAGAAAAAAGTTAGGCAACCTGCCTGGGGGAGGGGAGTTTGGGGAGAAAAAAGAGGATCTGCTAAACAAGATAGACAAGAACGGGGCCCTTGGGCAGGCGAGCACAGAGTACGCAACATTGTCGACCAGTTTAGTGGCCTGGCATGTGTACCTGGGCAAGGGCGGGGTGTTGGACGTTCCTGTGCCCGGTTCTTTTGTCATGGGCTGGTTTTAGAACTCGTTACTTTCCTTCCCTGTGCTGTGCCGCGTGCTGCTCCTGCAGTCAGTGCATTATCCCTTAGGTGTGCATCTTCCTCCTCTGCGTGCCACTACTGCTTCCACAATTAACAGTGCTATCACTGCTTCCTCCTCCTCCCAGTACTGCTACTACCACTGCTGCCGTTGTTGCTGCTTTGGCTAACACTACTAAGGGCGTCATTAGACACTCCTCGCGGACGTGAAATCCACAAGGACGCACTCGTTCCACCTGTCCTTGGGGATCGAATTGAAAGAAAATTGTGAAAACACCACAAGGAAAAATCCTTGAGGTGCCCTTGTGGCCCCAGCCAAAATTTCCTTATCTCCAAGGGACCTCACGAGGGTCCCTTGGAGCTCAAGGAACTGCGATGTTCGGAGTAGCGAAGACATGCGTCGACGGAGAGCTTCATTTTTTCGGTGGCCCAGACGTGGTCCGACACTGTTAGCACGGACATCCCCGCCCTCCAACGTCTGCGTGGTCCCCCAATGGGCTCGAACGGTTGCCGCCGGGTCGCGTCGTTGTCTCCGGCGGGCGTCATGCGGGCTCCCGTGCTGAGGGAACATCCCCAACGGTCGGGAAATTCGAATATTTTTCCTGGTGGTGCCTGCAGATCATTGATGGAAGCTGCTTGTGCACTAACGTTGTATTCCTTCACGTGTCGTCACATGCTGCACAACCGATGACAGGCCTGCCTTCGCTGCCCTCTCTGCGGTCGTTTGCTGGATGTCTCACAACAGACATGGCGTTGCGCTCCCCTCTCGGTCGTGTCATTCATAGCAGACATATGAGTGCAGTCAATGCATCCATGGCAGTTGGGGAATCCCTAATCAGCTAACGCCCGCAGGACGACGAGGTTCTGCACCCCCGTCGGCCAGGCGATCTTATCACTGTACATGTCACGCATAGCAACGAGGCCGGAAGCTTTGCCTGTGTCAAAGCTGCAGGTGCTGCTCTCGTACATCTCCCCTGATGCCCACCTATACAACACATATGCCAAAATCCGGTCGGCTGCAGTGGCTCTCTGTAGAACGTCACCTGCCGCTGAAGATGAGGTGCACACGCCTCCGTGATTTCCCGAAACACTCGTGGTGACACGTGCAGCTTTTCCCGGAAGTAGTCATCCATGTCGTTGTGACGTTGCCGAAGGTCTTCCCATGTCCCCTCCGTCCTGCGTTTGATCCACCACCTCGATCGTGGAATGATCCCGCAACCCAACATGCAGCACAGCTGAATGACAGCCTCCGAAGCCGCCACGTATTCGGGGCCGTTATATGCATCATTGTCCTTCTCCTACGCGTGAACAGCTGCGCCTTCATTCGCCCCATGTCCTGTTGACAATGAAGAACAACAGTAGACAAGGCCGCCGCCACGGCCGTCCTGTCAGCAGCGCACGCCCAACCTCACGGCCGCCCTTCATCGCGAAGACTTCAACAGGAACGACATGTATCCGCCAGGGGTGACGATCGTCGCCCCGAGGACACTTCCTCAAAGCTGCGTTCTTTGGGACAACGCACCTCTCGTGCCAGGTCTGTGCCGTGCAATGCACTAGACGTAATCTGCGTCGATGGCGATGGATGCCAGCACAGTGCAGACGTACACACAGCGCTGTATTTCCCGGGAAGGGACGCTGCCACTAAGCTCGATTCGCCCGTTGCCAGTCTGCATGCCGCCTGCTGATTGTTGCCCTCATCACCACGACCCCACATTTGAAATTTGAATTTCAAATGTGGAGGGCCCCTTCTTTTTACTTTCTTTTTCGTGGCCTGGACCACGGACATCCCCCTATAATCGTATGAAAACATCCGCGGGCAGGCCACAAGGAAACGTCCTCGGGGAACGTCTCCAAGGACATGTGGAACGAGGCCGCAAAATTTCCTTGAGAGCTACAAGGAAACTTGCAGCTCGATGAAATCATAAGGACTGTCTAATGACGCCCTAATACTACTACGGCTGCTGCTACTGCTGCCACAGCAGCAAAGAATGGCCGAGGTGGGCTGCTGCTACAGTCCCACGGGTGCTAATACTACTAATATTACTTAGCAACTGCAGCAGCAGCAGCAGCAAAAGAAATAACAGTTGGTGGAGCCCAATGTGCGAAAGTGTTTTTTTTTTTTTTTTTTGAGACGATGCTCCAATCTATTCGTGGGGAGCAACACAGCTGGGAACCGGGTCCAGCGTCCCTTATCAGAATACAAGAAATAAGCTACCAGGGCCATTACCCGGCCTCGGCTAAGAACGATTGAAGAGAAAGGAAGAACTCAGAAACATTCATGGTCCACTACTCGAACTCTATCAAGTCACTAGAATATGTGTGTCAAAAAGCCTCCCAACCACGAATCAGATAGGTGAAACCTATTCAATCCGCCTACGACTACCACCAGCATGGCTGTTTTTAGCACGAACCGAAGCTCTTCCAGGCCTCATGCTCCCATCATCGGTTGCACCACCGTGCTCCAGCACCGGCCAGCATTGCTCCAGTTGCGAACCCCAATGACCATTGAGACTGTCCCCCGCAAACAGCCCCCCAGATCTCTCTACCAGGCCTCACACCCCCACTAAGCTAGGTCACAGAGTTGCGCCGCCTGGCTCCGGCTCCGGCTAACATCGCTCCAGCATCGGTCTTCGAGGGCCACCGAAACCAAATGGAAAAAAATACTAATCTAGATGTTAGGATTCTTCGAGGGCCACGGAAACCAAATGGAAAAAAATACTAATCCAGAATAAAGTATGATTCGACAATGCTCGCAAAAATTCATTCACCTCGAAAATGACCTGACTCATTGTCCCACCATCCTATAATTCCCATTGGGCAGCTGCACGAATGAGTGTCATATAATGCCCGGGTCTGTGTAAAATACAGGCAGAAATATGAGGATGGTTGTTGAGGTCATCGCCTGGCGTCGCATGATGCATAAGAAGGTGGCGACCGTGAAACGCTAACTGTAAGACATTTACAGTAAACCTCCTGAGGTAGTATAGTTACTACCTTCCGCAAGTGGACTATTATGGTCAAACAACAACTGATTTTCAACAACATCAAGCTGATAAGCAATCGTAAGAAATTGGGATGCACTATAACATTGACGCTGATAAGCCTGTAGCAGACATTTGTGGTTGTCAAACCACAAATATTTGGTATGTCTACCCGCAGATCCGAATCGGTCA